CCTCGAAGCGTATATCATGTAGTATCAGCCTTGCTGTCTATTGTTTGTCTAATCCAGAGCCCGCATATGGCCACATGATATTAGTCAGCGGATACCTTGTTTTAACAGGTGTTAATTGACCATAATATGGATGTCCAATATATAAGATGTGCGCCATGTTGCGCGACGTCGTCGTCGTTTTTCGTCGTTGGGCGCACGCGCCCGCGATCCATGCCGCTAGCCATGTTGACCATGCGAAAAAGAGTTGCATGTTTTTTTTTTTTATTTCTATACATGCATGCGGTTCTGTTCCTATAGTTATGGTGCTCCGCTTAACGGCACTTCGGGACGTCGGAGCTCCGCTCTTAACATTTGATTCAGGCTTTAGCGTGCGTCATCGCGTGATGACGTCAGCGACAAGTTTGGAGAGCCGAAAGAAGTAGTGTGCAATTTCTCGAAGCGCAGAGAGACTGGGCAACTCTAGCTTCCTTCGTGAGCTTTCCAAGTGAATCGTAACTCGATGATGCACGGCTGAAAAAACATGAACCAATTGTTTTGTATCACTGCTAATGGAAATGTCGAAGCAAAGTTAACTTTGTTCACACCACAAGAGTGCATCACTGGATTGTAATGCATGTATACTGAGCCAAGTGGGGCTTTGCTCGGATCTTATAACTAGAACTCCGCTTTAAAAGCACCTCTGCTCTTTCGATTCAGACATCAAATACGTAATTTATTTAAATTAATGTTTCGGCTGATAACTTTTTTTGTCTACCCTGGTGTGTTTATTCAAGCAAGGACCTGTGTTTTAACATGCTAATCAAGTGTCTTTCGGTTATACAGGGCGCAATATTATATCAAAAGTTTTGACTTTAAAAGCACACGCTCAATCAAGGAAAAATACAACTTTGTTTTAGACGAATTAACAGAAAGTCTAGAGGATTTTCATTCAAGCCTGTTGTGACTCGCCGAATAATCTCGTAAATGCAAATTTGATCAGACAAGTTGAAACTAAGGGCCTCCTCATAATAGCCCGGTCAACTTGGCTGGCTCGGTTTCCGAGATCTCACCTCGCCACTCTTTCCTCCGTAAAAATTTCGATGTGTTCATATGAGAAGCCGGACTGGCCCAGTTACCGAGATCCCGGTTTTTGCAACCGAGATCTCGTTAACCGGGATGAAAATTTTTCCAGATGAACACTCCAGCCCGGTTAACCGGGACGAAACTTTTTCGACAAAATAGCTTCGCTTTCGCAACATAGCGGCCAAACTGACTTAACTTTTGTCTTGTATGTATTTCCACATTAGGAGTATGCGAATTAGCTTTATTAGTAAAGTTAAGGGAGTCCAGAAAGCTACGACAGCCGCGAACGATACAAGTTTATGGTTCACCATTTTGCTTGTGTTTCTTGGATTTCATCCCGGTCTACCGGACCGAAATTTGCCATATGAACAGACAACAAAATTCGTCCCGGTAACGGAGCCAGCCCGTTTACCGGCCGGGCTCATATGAAGAGGCCCTAAAGCGCTCAAGACACAGCAACGAACGTACCTATCCACAGTGTTTTCAGTCATAAACACTTGTTTGATTATTTTGAAACACTGCGAGTATGTTTTATTGAATAAAACTGTTTTTGAATCATAATCGCCATCTACAATATTGAGTTAGTTGATAAAGTGAGCGAGGGCCTCGCTGCAAATGGATTTCCATAGAAACAACTTTCCACAAAGGCGTAATCAATCTCAAGCCAGGCTCATACTGGCGACAATTGCAAAATGATTCAAGTAAAAGACTGTTTTCCTCTAAATTAATCTACCATGTAGTTCACACTTGTAACAATACAAATTGATAGTTTTGTTTTTTCCTCGTGTTCCTGGCCAGAAATAAATACGAGTGGAACAATCATTGAACAGCACATCTTCGCCGTATATCCGTTTTCTTCACGGTTTACAGCAAATTAGTTTGGATAAGATGCACACGTACAAATAATAATAATAAAACCAACCTTGCCATGTGTTTCTCGAGGCACTGCCGACAAAATCTGTGACCACATCTCGTCAAAACTGGCTCTCGCAAGGGTAGTTGACAAATTAAACATAGCAAGTCATCGTCAACTGGACTCGTGAAGTCTTCCTCGTAGCCACAAGGTA